ACTCCAAAACACATAACAACTCTTTTGAATCCAAATCAGGGTGGTGCTAGAGGGCAGCACTTTGCATTCCAGCATACCACCCTCCCAATTTTAATAATACTCCATTTTTAAAATATTGAGAAATAAAATAATAACTGACAGGGGCAAGGATCCTGGGGGATTACAAAGAGGTATCCATGGACTCAGGTGTCCATTGGCATCACAAAGGTGACTCTGGCCTAGAAAGATAGAAGGTATTCTGTGAATCATACCACTCTAATGGCAGAAAATGAAGAGAAACTAAAGAGCCTCTTGATGCAGGTGAGAGAGAAGAGCACAAAAGTTGGCTTGAAACACAACCTCAAGAAAACTAAGATCATGGCAACCAGTCCTATCACTTCCTGGCAAATAGATGGGGAAGAAATGGAGGTAGTGACAAATTCTAGTTTCCTGGGCTCCAAGATCACTGTAGATGGGGACTGCCACCAAGAAATTAAAAGACACTTGCTCCTTGAGAGGAAAGCTATGACAAATCTAGACAGCATACTAAAAGGCAGAGACATCACCCTGCAAACAAAAGTACGTATAGTTAAGGCTATGGTTTTCCCAGTTGCAATGTATGGCTGTGAAAGTTGGACCGTAAGGAAGGCTGAGCGCTGAAGAATTGAGGCCTTTGAATTGTGGTGCTGGAGAAGACCCCTGTAAGTCCTTGGACTGCAAGGCGATCAAACCAATCAGTCCTAGAGGAGATCAACCCTGACTGCTCTTTAGAAGGTCAGATCCTGAAGATGAAACTCAAATACTTTGGCCACCTAATGAGAAGGAAGAACTCCCTGGAGAAGAGCCTAATGCTGGGAACAACAGATGGCAAAAGAAGAAGGGGACAGGAGAGGATGAGGTGGCTAGATGGAGTCACTGAAGCAGTTGGTGTGAGCTTAAGTGGACTCCGGGAGATGGTGGAGGACAGGAAGGCCTGGAGGAATGTTGTCCATGGGGTCGTGATGGGTTGGACATTACTTCGCAACTAACCAACAACATTCTGTGAATCAAAAGTGGGTATTATGGGTAACATGTAGATTTTGGCCAAGATAATAAATTAGTGATGGCCAACATTTTTGCCTGAAGTATGAGACAATACCACTCTGGCATGTGCTCTCATCCCCATAACCTTTACTGTAGCATAGTTTTGCTTTCAGTTTATTGAACTAGGGATCAGGAAGAAGTCAAGTGCAGGGGAGGGAATCGGGGTGCAAAGGCCTATCACAGTTTTACTGCTGAAATCTGGGGATACCAGAAATCCCTGCTGGATATACCACTTTGGGTATGTGTGCTTTGGGTTGGCCAACTGTCCATGCAAAAAACTTCATACTCTTTGTTTGGTCCAACAGGATGTCAGTATAGCAGCTGCTAAAGGCACTTAACAAGGCAGCAATCCTAAACTCACTCACCATAGGGGATTGTGATGTGTGTGTTGACTCCACTTGATGAAGGAGGCTGCCCATAGACTCCTGAGAAGTCTATGGGTGGTGATCTATGGGTAGACCACCAACATTAGAAAACTAAGATGTATTGAAAGGAAGGGAATTATTCCCTTTTCCATGATCTTGGACTAAATGACTTTTGAGACCTTTTTTCTGAATAATGAAGATGAATATGGAGAATGCACTAAATGCAGTAGTGTGCAGAGGATGAAATCTATTTCGAAATATGTTTTGCACATTTGAGAATTTTTCTCCATTATTTCGATGGGGCTTCCCCCTGTGGACACTATTCCTCTTGGTCTGGTATCATCAACTGCACCATGCAACTTTGCAACATGCTCACAATGTGCAAGGTTTTAGAGCTTAATTTAGGACATAGTTATCCCTTCTATGCAGGACCCAACTGTAGTGAGGAATAGCCTGAAAGAATTCATGAGAATTCATGATAAACTCCATGCATGACCTCTAGAGGCTCAGCTGGATGTCTGAAGAGATTTTTCTGTCTTTTCCAATATGTGTGTGTAAACATTGATCCCGCAAGACTGGGACCCTAACAAAGCAAGGTTCTTTTACACACAGCGCTCTACACAGAGGCACCTCTTGGGTCTCTTCGGATCTTCAGGTTAATTATGCAGAGGCCAGTTTACCTGAACAGAAAGTGTGAAAAGTGCATCATACTGGAGGCATTTTAAAATAAAAAACCTGAGGTCATGGTACAGCCCAGTCTCTGAATGTTTTGGTCCCACTGAAATAAATGTGCAAGATTTCAGCATTTGACCTGTGGAAGACTGTCCTGTGAAACTCACAATGATGTGTGAAAATAGTGAGTCAATGGACAGTAGTGGAGTATTTGAAAGCTTAGGCAAGACACTGCTTTGCTTTGAAGAGAGATCGGTTGCTGATCCATACAGGTTTGCAAACAAAAGATTCCCTTTTATAATTAAATAAAAATGGGATGTTGATACAAATTGTTCCAAAAATAACTGATTTAAACACACACACACCCAAAACTTTATTTTTGTTTTTGCTGCTAAACAATCCTAAATTCTATCTGCGAAATTTGCTTCAGCATGAGCTTGTCTTTACTTAGAAGTGATCTGGGCAAGGAAGTTGACAGAGGTGGGACGTTTTCCTCCTGGATGAGGTCATGCGCCTGGATTTGGCCTGCTTACAGTAACATGGAGTTCTGCCACTGTTTCCTAATGTCCTCATGATGTGAATGCACTCCTATTGTCCTCTCCCCTCTGCCTTTCTCCCATGTTTTGGACTGTAATTGCCACAGGTCTCTCAGTGAAGATCTGCAAAAGGTCTTCAGAAATGCATCTCCCAGAGGAGGAAAAACATCTAAGTTTCTGCAGCCTCAGTTTGATACTTCAGTCTAGTATATGGTTAGCTAGACTGTTGAAACATGCAGAGAGTGAACAGAAATCTGACCAGTCTGCCCCACCTGCCAACCCAAAAGTATGCTCAGAATGTACCCTTTGCAGCATGAATAGCCATCTTCTGTCTGTCCCAAGCAGGAAAGGATACTTTCCAAAATTCCATCTACACACACACACTCATCCTTTTGGGTCTCAGTCAATCACTTCCTCTTGTGAAGAACAGTCCACATGGCTCCTAAAATCATTTGGAAGAATTTTTTTCTAAGGAGTTCCACAAGGTTCTTGACATAAAACTGGTCTTATTCTGCACTTTCTGGTGCCGTCGGCTGCAGAGTCAAACACTGCTGGCCTGCATGCACCACACTAGAGAAAGCACTGCCCACTCAGAATAAAAATGCTGTGAATGAAATGTGTCCACTGTGAAACATAGTGGAGCTGGTGCTGGAGCATTCCATTCTTTACATTCCTGCAGGACTGAAAGGAACCGGGCAGGAGGGCCAACGGGGTTCCTGCTTGCTGAGGGCCATGGGCCTTTGTGTGGGTGGCAGCAGACACACAGATCCACGTAGGGAGAGACTGTGTGCTGTGCTTCTAATCCGAATCAGTGAATACCTCCAGTCCTCACATGGCTTCCAAACGTGATGAACCCCAACCAGAGCCTGAAATCCAGGACTGTCTTCATTCCAGCCTGCAAAGCATTTCAGAATTTCTCAAAAGTGATCAAGTGGTGACATCTAGTGTTGTCTGGATGGCATCACAAGAGGCATCAAAGCCATCAGCAAGAACGCTCATAGGGAAGATTCAAGGCAGCAACTGAACTCAGAGAAACAGAAAAAGAGTAAACCATTCCTGAGAGGTGATTTCTTGCACCTCAAGTTCCAGCCCCTGCTGTGGTTTTTGCCTACTTCACTATGATCACTTAATCATATTCCACCATAAGAAGCTTCACAGATTTCCCATCAGTGGGGATTCTACATAGCCAAATCCTACCTATAAAAGGTACATACGGTCTGTTAGAAAAACTGGTATTACCTGTGAATGCAGGGGAAACAGGTGTAAAGCAAAAGTAGTCTTCAGCTTCCAATGCAACTCCTTGTCCCCAGACTCCTCCTCCTTTTTATATGAATAGCAGTAGTTACATAGAAACCAGCATGTGTATAATGTCTGCTAAATTTACTTCTGGAACAATGAAGGCAAATGGAAGGGAAAACATTCTCACTCTTGGTAGTTTTATATGATCACCAGATATATATGATCACTGGGGTGCTACGTGGGAGCGTTGCCCTGAGATTGGAAAGATCCAGGTTTTATACCCCATTTGGCCAAGAAGTTCTTTGGGTGACTTTGGCCCAGTCATTGACTCTCAGCCTAACCTACCTCACAGGGTTGTTGGGAGGATGAAATGGATAGGAGGTTTATAGAAGCCCCCTTGGAGGCCTTACAGGGAAAAAAGGAAGGTATAAATGTAAAGATATAAATACATTTATATCCCAGCTTTCCTCTCCACTCCACTCACAAAGAACTCAAGGCAGGCAGGCTGGGCTGAGAGGTAGTGGCTAGTCCCGAGTAACCCATTGAACTTGATGGTCAAGTGGGGACTTGTACAGAGATTTCCTGAATTAGAGGGCAATGAGCATTACTTCCTGAAAAATTAATCCATTAAAATGCATGCAAGATGCAGCAATGACTAGAAATGAACCCCCCCCTTTCGAAGAGGACCAACATTCAAGAACAAAACAAGGAAAACAGTCACCTTTAAATATGGACATGTTGCAAACCAAAGAAAAGGCCCATCTTTTCTAAGTGTGTGTGCTTCTGTTTTAATGATTTGAAGCTCAAGGAGGACAAGCCCTTACAGCTCCAACCCTGAAGTCAGATAAATGTATTGAGCTCACATTACAACCTTTCCAGTTCATAGCCAGGACCAGATTATTTATCATATGGTGTCATATCCTTGATTCCTATCCTGACGAGTGTTAGGTCTTCATTTTTTAAGGAATGCACTCTACATGTTGCTGTATACTATTTTAGACCTTGCAAGCCACTCTGACACATCAGTCAGACCCACCTGAATGATGGGTTTTTTGAGGGGTTCATAATTCTGGTTTCAGACCCATGAGGACTGCTGCCCCCAAGCCGGCGAAGGGTGGGTGCTTACCAGTCTGTGTGTGGATCATCGATTACCAAGAGGTTCTGGGGCTTCTGCTGGGTGACAGGGGCAGGGCTTGGTGAGTGCTCAATCAGCCCTGCAGCCGCTTGTGTGGTTTGCTTCATGGCACTGGAGATGGAACTGAAGATGCTGGTTCCAGAAGAAAGAGGAGCCGGTTGCTGGGCAGGTGGTGGCCTCCTCTCTGTTGCTGGGGAAACGGGGCTGCTGGTGGAATTATCCGCACGCTGAAGGTCCATCATGTAGCCATTTGGCAAGTTGGCCACAAAGCTACTGTCTGAGAGGCGCCTCCTCAGGAAATTCATTGTGGCGGATTCTCTATCACAGGTCAAAATGACAGGGTCTGAAGAACTAATCTGGGCTCTTGCTGACTACTTGGAAGAGATATTTTGCCACTTTCGTTTGTTCAGGGTGGAGGAGACTGCTCTTTCCAGGGATTCTTGCCTGCAAAATATAGTTTGGGACAACATATTAGAATGAATCTCTAGGGCTCTGAAGAATACATTGAAGAAATGAGACAGCTATGAGGCCTTTTGCTATGAATGGAAATAAATAAATAAAAAGATTAAGAAGCTTGTAGCTCAAATGTGGGCGCACTGTGGGAGAAGAGAGGCCTGGACCAGTTTTTGACCAGTTTCCTCCAGACCTTTGTATTGGTAGCCTTCACTTCCCAGCAGGAGTGGAAGTCAGCCGGTTGCATATCTTGGCTGCTTGGTAGTGTCCCACAAATGACAGAATTGTTATTCATGGAAGGGGTGCTGAACCAAAGGCCTGTTCCCATCTAGTCACAGGGGGTTGCCCCACACCCTTCCCTTGGCCCACCCTTTCTCCCCAGCCATTGCTGGTTTGTGATTTCCTGGCTTTTGGCAGAATATCAAAATGCTTCTCCTAAAGATTAATTGCATGCAGTAAGTGCTTTAAAAGAAAATATGTTGGCATGTGCAGTTTCAGTCCTGGCTTGTATGCCTTTGACCCTCTGCCACCGCTGGCACATGGCCCTGAGAACTTTTCCAAAATTCAATTAAGTCTCCAGGCAGCAGATTTCTGTGTGGTAAGGAAAATGGCTCAACCAAGACCGGTGCAGATGCCATCAGTGTCTCATGCCTTCCTGAAAACACATGTTTAGAATGGCTCTGTCCAGAATCCTCTCCTCCAGCTCTCCATGCTGGTCTGCCTTATTAGACATTCCAGGCCATGGCCCTGCAAAAACCTTGTGACATTTAGAATGGTATAAAATGACACCAGTCATGGTTTTTCCATTAGAATACAGTGATGGTAGGAGAAGCAGAATGTGAACTTCTTGAAGGCACAGTAGCCCTGCCACAGTGAATTTCTTGCAACTGTACGCCTCTCTGATTTCTTAACCCATAGTTCCCTATCTTCCAAAGCAACCTTATCTCTGATAACTCCCTTCCTGCTAGCAACTCAGCTGCTTCTGTTTCAAGGTCCAAGTAGAACCTGCCCACACCACATACCATGTCCTCAAGTTTTCAACCCAGCATCTTTCTTTCCTTTGCCCAGAGATGGGCAGCATGTGATAGGCCAGATGCTTTATCCAACAATTTCCGTGAGCACTCATCATTGCTATATTGGCTGGGACTGATGGGAGTTGTAGTCCAAGATATTTATTTATCTATTTATTAATTTTTGGATTTATATCCTGCCTTTTTCCCTACAAAGGGCTCAAGGCAGCTTACATCTCCTCCTCCATCTTATCCCCTCAACAAAAACCCTGCGAGGTAGGTTGGGCTGAGATTCTGTGACTGGCTCAAAGTCACCCAGTTGGCTCCATGGCTGAGCGGGGACTAGAACCCAGGTTGTCTGAGTCTCAGTCCCATGCTCTTAACCACTACACCACACTGGCTCTCAGATATCAACTGAGCTACAAGCTGCTCACTCCAGATGTAGATAGTTTCAAGCAACTAGTGTTCCTGTTTCCAGAACTCCTCTCCTCATTTCTAAAGTCAACACTTCCCAGATCAATTCTGCAATTAGTTAACTTTGCTTCCACATGTAGGATAAGGGTACCATCGAAAATTGCCTGCCAAAGGAGATGGTCCAGATAATTCAGGCTAGTAAGCAAAGCAAGACAAAGGCAAAAGTCCCCACCCAGGAGGACCATAAGGATGCATGTGCATTTAAGCCACTCTCTGCTGAAGATGAAAGGGCAGCCAGTTAAACAGCTCTGCCCAACTAGCATGTTATACATGCTAGGGTAGGAAAAACATGAGCACTTTGGCTTTACCCTGTTTCTCATTTTCTTGACTGTACATTAGCTTCACACTGTTTCTCAATTTGGCAAACAAATTGCAATACCTGCATAAAATTAATATGCAAGATCATGCACATTTTTGTATATACTTTTCCTACTGCGAATGCTTTTTGTACTCTGTTGTTTCCCGATATGATGTGTTTCTGAACATAGCTTTGTGCATATCCTCCCCACCTTCAGATTTTCTGGGTGAGGGAAAGCTGACTGTTTCTTACTGTAGCCCTGGCAAAAATCATCCCTTTGAAGTGCCCTCTTGCATTGCGAGGAAAGTTCATATTGGGTGCTAAGAGGAGCTTTCCTCTAAGTTCAAATAACTGCTTTGGAGAAGCTATCTGACCTAACATGACAGCCAGGGTGAAAGGGTTAAACCCCCTCTCTAGCTGCTGAAATTCCCCCTCCTTCCAGCAGCCACTGTTTTCATTAAAATGTGACTTTCAATGCAAAGACATAATTAATGTTGCATCCAGTTTCTGCCCTGTGCTTGACAATGCCTCTGTTTTCACAGTTCAGTTCTGTTAACATTTCTATCACATCTTGATAGTTTACTGTTCAATCTAGAAATGCTCCAGGAAAAATGAAAAGTCAGATAATTTATACATGTGTTGGCATCCTTTAAATTAGAAATGATTGTCAGTGCTGAAATTGTACATCACGACCTTTTGTTTGAAATAGGAGATCCTCTGGATATGAAAGCTTAGAGTTATAATTTTGGATCTGACAAGGCCATTCTTTCTAGCAGTAGGAACAATGGCATAGCTTCTCTCCTGATGACAGCAGCCCTATCGTCCTAACTGGGTGACTTGCAAAGGCCTTTTGTGAGCCCTGCTTATCAGGGAAGCCAGAAGCAGCTCAGCAAAAGTCTGCAATGCTGGAGGAAATAAATCCAGTGCTAATCCTTTGAAATTACAGAAGCCATCTCTATCTTCAAAGACGACGGCCTGAGTGACACATCACTTATTCTCCATTTCCCTACAGTAAAAGCCTTTCAGACGAAAGCCCGTCTTTGCACATTTTGACACAAATGCCTCTGTCATCATTAAGATTAAGTTCCTACATATATGCTGAAGGCATTCCTCATCCATCAAAGATTCAAATGAAGGTAGGAGGCATCAAAGCAAACCGGAAAGAGTATAAAAACTGTAATGGCTTCAGAGACATTTGTTTAAAAACAAAACAAACAAACCCCAAATAATCTATCTGTCCCATATCTTTCTTTTTCTCTAGTCCAGTCCTTGGGTACAATGCTACATGATGTAATCTGTCTTTGCAAACGTTTAGTCTTCCACAAAACGCAATTGCTATGCAGTATCATGATTGGCATTAATAAAGCAGAGCTTTCCTTTACCGAGAGAGAGATGGCTTTGAAGTGCACTGAACTGAATAAAATCAAGAAGTTGGATGTATTTAACGCACAAGGCCTGGCAAGATGCATTAAGGATCAGCTCAGATATAAAATGCCTATGGGAACAGTCGGCAAGCAACTTGCTGTTTCTCTCCGAAGAAAGAGCAGAGCCTCTTCAGGTTTAGTCTGATGCCCTTCTCTGATGAATGCAGAGCATAACTTTTCCACATCATCTCGAGGCTTTCCACAGTGTGTTTTTACAGCTGTCACAACAGATTCGTGCTTTGAGAGACAGGGTTAAATCGAGCCCTTTCTTTGCTATTGAGCTAAAATTCCTTTCCTCTGCAAAAGGAAATCCAGGTTTGTACCAATAAGATGGGGTAAGGCACCACAAGGGAGATGTGTTACATTCATAAAGGAGTGAATGCTTTAGGGTAGAATTAGGTAGCTGAAATTATGCACAATTGTAGCAATGATCTGATGATTCATTGCTAAAAACTGCCAAGCACATTGAGCGTGTGCTGATCTACCGAATATGAAGGGTGTATGAAGCTTGGGAGCATGCCTCCTTCCAATGACCAAAATGTGCTTCGTGAAAATGACAAGAGGGGGCTTGGGAGACAGGGTTACATCAGCAAGACTGACTGCGCAGTACCTTGGCAGCATAGGCTCTGCACCTAGGATCACTGAGCAAGCACAAAGCACAGGACAATTGCTTCCGGAGTGTGCCCAGCTTTAGCGATGCATATTTTCATGGATCCCCACTTGTACTGCAGATGGTTAAATCTGGATGAAAAATGAGACGCCATGGACTCCTACCAACTACACTAAAATGCAAAGTAAATATAGGCATGCCATGTGAAGAAACACTAATGCTCCATGTAAGCAAGCAGTCTCTTTCTTTAAAATGGCCGAAGTGCCTGATAAACTTTGGGCAACCAGGTGGTTACCAGCCATATTTTCTCTACACTTTCTTTTGAAACCCATTTACAGTAAAGTTATAGTAACTGTGGTAACAATTACATCCTGTAGCAGTAAGCTCATAGGTTCTTTAGTACACAGAGAGCCCCTTGGTTTCATTGACTGTAATCTGGTGCAGATCAATGTCGGTGTCTGCAGTTGAGGCTTCTCCATCCCACCTAGAATTACTGTTCCCCATTTTGGAGACTTTTTCTCAAAATTCTCAACAGCCAGAGCTTCCTTCTAAGTAGGAGTCACTGGAATCGCACTGGTGGAGCCTTCTGAGCATGGAGGTGGCAATTCTGTAGTCGGGCGATCAATGCTGTTGTACAAAATACCTGTTCTTAAGTGCTTTGTGAAAAAAAGAACAGGTCTATTTTTGAAGCATTAGAAAGAATTCTCACAGAGAGCTCCTCCAGCTTTATCTTCCTTAGGGTCCCTTCCCTCAGGCCCTTCTGGCTACTGGACAGTATAGAGAGGAAATAAATAATAACAAATAGATTTGAAACTTCACCAGCCATATGAACACACATGATGAGCTACCGGGTGGCATTTTGTTAATTTCATGAGCGCAGTGAGCATGCTGCTGTAGGGGCACGTGGGTGGGAGACACAGACTCAAGAGCGCAGCGCACTGGCATGGCGAGTGCAGTGGGGCCGTGAGCAGACTGCAGGCCGAATTCCTCCACCCTAACCAGCTCCGGGAACGTTCTGTTGGTGTCAAAGCATGTT